AGTATCCACTATATCCACGTAATTACGTGGATATACTTACGGTGCGTTTTTGTGCGAATAGACATTACGTTTTTTTTATATTAGTCATAAGCATAAATAAAGTCCAGTTTCAAAATCGTGGGTTATCTAGAAAATAAGTAACACTTGAAACTTTCTGTAATTAAAGATAAGGAGTCTACTACGAAGTTGTCAAAAGTGAAAACGTTTAAAGTTAAAAATGGACGTGGAATTTAGCTACAAAAAAAAAAAAAAAATGCAATTGATAACAAAATTTATAGAAACGACCAAAACGATTATCTAAAAAATTTAAAGAAGCTTTGCAAAAGTTGCGAAGAGCATCATTGATATTTCCGAACTTTTCAATGTTTCAAGTAAGCGGCTGGCTAGTTGGCAAGCTCAACACCGAAGGCGATAGAGAGAGCCTCCAACCAATGGAATCGAAGCTCTTTAGAACAGAAAACATATCTGTATATTGTGCAGCGCCATGTTTGTAATAGATATGTACAGACATACTTCCCATTGCAAGTCGGAGGCACTTTTCGCTGGTGTCCTCTAGGCTCAGCTTGCCAACACGATAGCCCCACAAGTGATAAGTGCCCATACAACAACTCGAAGTGGATACTAGTTTGACTCTTCTCACACCTTCTACCAACACTGAAGAATCGTCTCAAATCACACAATCGAAACGAGTGCATTATTAAAACTTATTTCGAAGTGTACCACTTAAATAGTATCATACACGGTCGATCCATTGGTTAGTCAGTTGGTTTTACTCGCGCAAGCAGGTACTTCTAATACTCTTTTTGTAATAGCTCATTACTCCCTTATGAAACATAAATAACATTTTTTTTACAGAAATTGACATGTATAATATGTTTGGTCAACAAGCAGCACAAACTACGCCTCAGTCAACTGTGAATCCTATGAACGATTTTGAAGTTGTATCACCACCGGATGATTCGATATCAAGTTTGGCGTTCAGTCCAGCATACGTGTCTCAAAATTTACTTGTTGCTGGCTCTTGGGATAGTCACGTCAGGTGCTGGGAAGTGGAAAAAACTGGAAAAACTGTTGCCAAGGCCATGCAGAGCATGACAGGACCTATCCTGGACGTTTGTTGGAGTGATGTCAGTTTTTAGATACTTTTTACTTGCCATAAATGCCATGGCAAAGTTTTAGGGTGTTGTAATAATGCATCGTCAAATACTTGTTTTAGGATGGGACCAAAGTATTTATGGCATCTTGTGATCAAATGGTCAAGTGCTGGGATTTAGCTTCCAATCAATCGATCCAAGTAGCTGCTCATGATGCCCCAGTGAAAACTTGTCATTGGATTAAGGGTTCAAGTTACTCATGTTTGATGACTGGTTCATGGGACAAGACTTTAAAGGTATTTTATACTGCGTATTGAAAATACTAGTAACTAATATCAATTTATGTACGTGATATTTCAATAATTTCTCATTTTCTAGTTTTGGGATCTCAGAACGCCAACTCCAATGCTTACGTTGAATTTACCAGAAAAATGTTACTGTGCAGCTGTTGAGTATCCAATAGCTGTTGTAGGCACAGCTGAAAGATGGTTTTTAACCTATAAGTTGGAAGGCCAACCAACTGAACTCAGCAGGAAAGATTCCATTGTAAATTTTCAGAGCAGATGCGTTGCCATATATAGGGATAAAAAAAAGGCTCCCACTAGTTACGCTGTGGGCACCGTAGAGGGCCGTGTCGGCATTGAATACTTAAACAGTCCCAAAGATACTTTTAGATACAAATGCCACAGATCATCTGATGCAACGGGTAAATTAGTGGATATTTATGTGGTACGTATTCTTTATATCGTCACATTTTTTATTAAGTGCAGCAGATTACGTTAAGAATCAAAGATTCATTATTTTCAATAGGTAAATGACTTGGCGTTTCATCCGGTTAACGGTACTTTGGCAACTGTTGGCGGTGATGGGACATTCGGTTTTTGGGATATAAATGCTAGGACAAAAATAAAAGTATCAAAAACAATGGGGAAACCTATCACTAGTTGCTGTTTTGATCGCAACGGGGAATTTTTTGCTTACTCTGTCTCCTATGATTGGTCCAAGGTACTTATAATTGTGTATTTAAAAATTTATCAATATATTTTGCTTATTAATTGGTATTGATGTTGCTTTTAGGGTCATGAGCATTATAATCCGAAAATGACGAATCATATCTTTCTTAGATCTTGTTCTGAAGATTTGAAACTGAAATGACATAAACAGCATAACTATTAAAAATATATATGAAGCCTACTATACATGAATTAAGAATAAAAATTCTTTATGTGGACGCAAACATCATCATTTCAATTGATACATTTTTAAATAAATAAATATAATAATTCATAAATTTCATTTTATTCTTTGTTCCTTTTAGCACACTAATAAAATCAATCAGTAATGAAAAATACAGGGGTTTGACATTAACAAATATTTGAAATAAACGCATTATAAAATAGTGTAGACGTAAAAAATTTAATCTCCGAAAAAGTAAATGTACAAGTATATATAACACAAACTCATTAAAGAAAGAATGTAATAATCATGTTATCGTTAAGAAAGTTACGAACTCACTAATAAGTAGCAATGTCCATTAGCTCTATCCAAATATCCTTGAAATGCTTCGTGCTTTATAATTATTGATGTGTTCGAGTGCGCTGGAAGCAGTTCTATACTGACTGTTTTAAGTATCAGTTCTCCAGCAAACTTACAGCACGTGATATCAGTCTCGAAAACCAAAGCATAATTTGTGTGCAACAGACGGACTTAAGGTAAAATCACCTCTTGTAAAACAGGCACTATCACTACTAACTCATCTTTTACTTGAGGATACATATATTTTTATTAAATGACAACATGAATATCTCGGACCAACGTTTTTGCCATTTGAACTATTCTGTTTTATATATGAATTTACACTTCGCACAAGGTATTTTCCCACTTTCAAAAGATAATGTAATACGTAGTGATCCCAAATATTAGATTTTGAAAAATTCATAACAATCCTATACCGACTAAAATTTTGACTGCTAGGTTATACTTTTTTCGAGAATGCTACGCTGATTTCATAATTTTTTTGAAAAACCAAGAAAAAATAGCTAATGGATGGAATTTTTCTGAAAAATTTTTTGTTTGACTTCAGTTCTTTATTACTAGCAAATATAACGCAATTTCGTGACGAGCACCAAGTGAATGTTCCTGGTTTATGAAACAATATTTCCAATTTGAAATTGAAAATAAAGATTAATATTTCAATGATTTCATATCATTCGTACAAAAAATACAGATAAAAAATTATAAAATTTTCGAATGATCTTAAAACCGGTTTGTACGTATTGTATGTTAAATTTGTAACTACCTTTGAACTTAGAAATTTTATCTTATGTGGATGACCTCAACTTTTTTTTAAAACTTATGTAACGCAATACTCGTTACAAAATTACAAAAAAATTTAATAATGAGCTAGCGTAAATTAATCAGTACAAAAGTATTCTACATTTGTAGTCCATGTATACATTAAAGAGTAAAAGTTTTTATCACAAGTATATATATTTAAATACAAATCGTACGTGTTGTATCTTGTGCAATGTTTTCAAGTTTTTGTTGTCAAATTTATTTTCCGCATTATAAAAAAATGTATGGATTTTATAAAACCTTTAAACTCCAAGATTATCGAAAATGTTAAACATAAAATCATAATTAAATATATACTTTACAGAAGAATAAATGAGTATCACAAGCAGAGAAGTGCATAGCTAACTAAGCTACAATAAATTTCTTTTCGTTATGATAGTACCTAATTAAAAATTAAATATTTTCAAAATAATTATTGGTTTATTCGTTTTCTATAATCAACCACATCTCTGCATCAACTAAAATTTAAGATGGATGACTTCGAGAGCCTATACAGTAAAATATTGGACACCTGAATATTTTTTGAGGTCCAATGTCAAGCTTGGTATTTCTACCGATAGCCTTGACCAACTGGGCCTATCACCCTATCAGGCAGAGATTCGGATGAATAGGCTGCTGCCTTACGCCGATCAGCTCGACGAGGAAGCAGACAAGCTACTCGCCACTGTCAAGGCTAAGCTGGGAAAGTGCGTGATGTATGGGGATATATATCCGGGCTTACATTATTGGTCATCGGTCTTTCATACGTAAGTGCTATGCCCTTCACGCTTAAAATACAATGTCACTGCGCGATCCTCATTTTTATAGTTTTATTCGTCATCTTGCACGTTGTTTAAAGTATGCACCTTACCCACTGTTACAGCTATATTTATCTTTATGGATTAAGATTTACGAAGGAAGAGCACGTAGCTTTTGTTAAGCTATTTTACGAATTGACAACCATTCCTGGACTTCAGGCTTCATCAATACAACAGTTTGCCGAAATTTTAATTTTACTTCTCGTGTGAGTAACAAAGCAACGTTTATAACTGTACCACTCGTTTTGATGAAATTAAAAAACTTAATTGTTTCACCAGGAAAAAAGAATTACTTTCACCGAAAGATTTAGAACTGCCATGGAGACCACTTTATAATTTGTGCTTGAAAATAAACAAAAATATGCATGCTATAAATGTGTATAAATATTCTTGGAGCCTGAGAGATATTATAAGAGACGTGGCCGCAGTGACAAACATTTATTTTCCAGTATGTGATTCAGTTTAACATAATTTTAACTTTAGGATGTTTTTGATATTCGATTTTGTATGTATAACACTGTTTGGTTGACAAACTGGAACAATAATTTGAAAATTTAGTTATATTTTTATTTTTTACTTGATTTTTTTCAGTTAGCAGCAACGCAAGAGATATTAGATGAAATAAAACCTCATTTTTGTTCCCTGACCGAAAGATTAATCGGATATTTTAACTTTTTGCAATGGTTTTTACCAGTGGATTTACCTGTTAATCATCATGGAATAGGTCATGAATTGTGGTTTGACGTATTTATGAAATTGTGGGCAACTCGATTTATGAACACAGTTTTAGAGAAAAAAATGATGCGTATAATGACAAAACTAGCATCTGGTAATATTGGCTACATCGATTGGAATCCGTGTATTCCATTTATTTTCACTACGATTCTTCATAGTTTGAAAATGCCAGTAAATTACAAAGAATACGGATAACATGACCCAAAAATTGATCCAATTTTAATGGCTGAGTGGGTTACATCGGTTCTGGTAGGTTTTGTAAGCTTTTTTTAAAATAAATTGTACGTTATCATTTTTTTATTTTTAGGGTGGCAGGAGTACCGCTCAATTTCACTTGGAAAAACTTCTCAAAACTGTTGAAACATATTTTCATCCTGCTAATGTTGGTGAATGGTCTGGTGTATTATGCATATTTCTGAATCATCTACCTTATTATGCTTCCTTGAGAATTTACAAGTATGCAATACAGTTTAAACAGTTTGAATTAAAATTTTTCAACTCTTATTTCATAGTATGATTTATTTCAGAGAGCGTTACAAGAAGGAAACGTGGGAAACTCCAATACCTGAAAGTCAGAAGCTTACAGACACAAATATAGATGCTTTTGTTTCAAGTATGATGCCATTGGCCAAAATCTCTATCTTTGACACGAGTTCTGGAATATTTTTATACAAAATGATACGCGATATGTCTGCAATGCGACCCAATATAGTTATTCCAAAGATACTAACGAATCTTTATGCCCTACTTGATAAGAATGCAACTGAATATGTGTTTCTTTGCATTACTTCAATGCTCCGTCCATTAGTTTTAGGTTCTCGCTACTTTGACAAAAGTACTCATATTTTTACAATTTTCGTATACTTTATTGTACTTGAAAATTTATCAACTATGTCTAAATCTGATTTAAATTGTTCACAGAGCATGCCTATTCCGAGGGACCTACTCACGTGATGAACTTTCTGTATGCAGCTTTGTCAGCAATAAATATAAATGAACCAGATATATGTTTGACTGCAATTAATTTTATTAAAACTTGTCTTTCGGTCATTCCTGTGGTCGATTGTTCCAAGACAAGGTTAAAAAGAAGTGAGGATGATAATATCATCTGTAAGCAAACAACACGTTTCAAGGACTTTATTCTACAGCTTGTGGATAAAATTTGTTTACTTATAACTTCGGGTACTCATGCAGTCGTTAAAAATGATAATACAGAGCCCGAAGAAATGGACAGTTTTGAGCGTATGTTGTTGCAATTTTTGTACGATATCTTCTGTGTGCTCCAACTGCAAACGAGTAATGATTTATTTACTACTGCATTCAAAAGATTTGATTCATTTGTAAAATGCCAAAATTTTGAAACAAAAGTTGCTATCGAAATGGTAGCAACCATTTGCAAAGCTTTAAGTTTGAAAAATGCCGAATTAGTTATTCGCTCTTTCGTACCTTACTTTACAAAAAAGATTGAAATTTACTTTGAAGATTATGACACTTCTGAAGAGCAGTTGGAAAATCATGTAGTTTATCTTCTAATAGTACTGAAAGAAATACTTTCCACTCAGGGAAAAGTTATCTTGCCATACTTAAATTCTCTTTTACCAGTAATTGACAAAGTTGTAATGCTAGAGAATCAAGAAATTAGTCTGCTAGGGTGTGATTTACTAAAAAATTTAGTGCATTCACTATGTAATGTTCAAGTTGTGTGTTGTGAAAATGATGCTATCAATAACCATGAATATCCACATTGGGAAGATTGGGGCAAGGGTGTGGATGCCGAATCAGCACAAATAAAGTGGAGTGTACCTGATGAAAAGGAATTAGATGCAACCTAAAAAATATTTCAGCGTTATTTCTTGCCTGCTGTTAATAAAATTCAAAATTACATCAGTAATCCGAATACCTTATCTCAGTAAGGGTTTTTTTTTCTACCTTATTAAAGCAGATTTCTTGGTTCATAAATCTTGGAAAAATATTTCTGAAGCTTTAAAAAACATCTAAATTAAATTTGATTTTGTTTTCAGAAACGAGCTTCAAGGAACATTGAAAATTATTTATACTTGCTTGTATGGGTTTCATACAGTATTACCGTGTTGTAAAGAAGAGTTTATACTTGGCGAAGAACATGAGGATTGTGATTATGAGTTTAGCCCTACAGTAGGAATAAACTATGAAATAACTATGCCCGATGGTAAAAATGTTAAACGTTTTATGGTCCAAGTTCTGTCTGATCTACAGGATGTGATGTTTAAAAATATTGAGCATAAAACA